AGTAAGAAACTCTGAGGAGAAGGTTCTAGAGGGATGCAGGGGTTGGGATTTGCAGCCAGGTCGGCATCACTACATGCATGCCTTACCACAAGTTTCTGCCCTTCCTTGGGTCTCGTTTTCCAGCTGTGAAATAGGGTTGGCCTCACTCCCCAGTTAAACCCAGATTCCAGGAATTGGATACTGTGGTTGAAGGTGGGCAAGAATCACAGGTTCCTTTCTCCTAACCCAGCCATCCTGAGGGGGTCCCTGAGGTGCCCTTGACCCCTGAGGCTGTGTCTGTAGAGCTGCGGCCACTCATGCTGTGGATGGCCAACACCACCGAGCTGCTGAGTTTTGTGCAGGAGAAGGTGCTGGAGATGGAGAAAGAGGCCGACCAGGAGGGTGAGCTCTGACTCAGGCCCAGGGCTGTCCAAGCCCCCTGCCATTCCCTTTACCTGGAGACCTAGGCTCCTGCCTGCCAGCCTCTGGTTCTCCCTCTCACCCCTAGGCCTGTCCTCAGACCCACAGCTCTGCAATGACTTGGAATTATGTGACGAGGCCATGGCCCTCCTGGATGAGGTCATCATGTGTACCTTCCAGCAGTCTGTCTACTACCTCACTAAGGTTGGCCTTGCCTCTTGCTTCCGATTTGATATAACTTACTGTTTGAACCATATCACATTGCTCTGATGTCACTTCCTCTTTGACCTTGAAAGATTTCCTGCTTCTCTAACAGCACTTCCCATTTCACCCAGCACTTTGTTGTTCTGGTACCACTTCTTGTTTGAGCGTACATCCATTTCCTGCCTTTCTAGCTTCTCTTCTTGTCTCTGCCACTATCGCTTCTTGACAGACTGACTTTATTACCTGGTTAGCTCACCATTATCACTTTTTTATTTCTCTTCAGTTACAGATAAATTTGATAGGTAGATAGGTGTAGATATAGATATATAGATACAGATAGATCAGATAGTACTAGACGCTCATTTAAACTAAAAGACCTCTTTATTCAGACCTCTCACTTCCTGTGTTTGCTAACCTTACTTCCTATAGCTCTGACTTTACTCCCTTTTCCAAGCCACAGATTCTTTTTCTTCCTGGAGTGCCCGTCCTGCAGGGCCTGCTTTCTGCCCCAGTCTCCCATAACCCTTGACCTTAATATTGTTTCTTGGAATTCTCAGGGTTTCTGGCTTATGGTGGGCCTGATTCCCTATGTGTAAGTTAAAAAGGGATCTTTTCAGACAAATAGTGCCTATATTCCGTGAGCAGCCTTCATTTGTGAAGCCCTTTCCCCCAAGGCTTTCACTTCCTGTGCATCTCTGCCAAGTATGGTTTTATTTCTTCTTTGGCTCTGACTATATTTCCTGTCCTTGGCCTGATCTCACTTTTTACTGCTAACTGCCATCCTACTCCCACTTCCTGACTCTCCATTCTTTTCTCTTTCCTCAGGAATTCTGGATAAATAATTCTTTGACTGAGGGGGGCCTCTTTGTTCAGTTTCTTTTGTCCTCCTTGAGCTGTCTCTGCTGAGAACTACAAGTCCCATAAGGCACTAGAGGCAGTCTTAAAACACCCACTTCTGTAAATCCTTTCATAAGACTTGAGGTGTCCCAGGCTTTATGACTGCTAGAAACCCATTTGGAAAGTAGGGATATGCTTATAGAGACTTCTAGGGTTTTGTAGGTAGAATGGACTACAATTCCCAGAAACCTTTGTTGGCGTTCCCCAGTATCTTTATGCTCTGCCACCCTGAAGTTTCCAGGGAGTTGTAGTCCGATCACATTTGCATCTCTGTATCTCCTCAGACTCTGTATTCAACACTGCCTGCTCTCCTGGATAGTAACCCCTTCACAGCTGGGGCAGAGCTGCCAGGGCCTGGTGCAGAGCTGGGGGCCATGCCTCCAGGGTTGAGACCTACCCTGGGCGTGTTCCAGGCAGCCCTGGAACTGACTGGCCAGTGCGAGCTGCACCCGGACCTCGTTTCTCAGACTTTTGGTTACTTATTCTTCTTCTCCAATGCATCCCTTCTCAACTCGCTGATGGAACGAGGTGAGAGTCAGCTGAGAAGGGCAGGGAGGCAGACAGGAGCCACCGAGACCCTCATCTTTAGGGACTCTGGAGAGCAAGTTCCAGATCCCAAGCTGAAGGATAGGAAGGGTCTGGGGTACAGGAGGGCAGGGTCCATGCACCCATCGTCTTTCATACCCTTTCCCACAGGTCAAGGCCGACCTTTCTATCAGTGGTCCCGAGCTGTCCAGATCCGAACCAACCTGGACCTTGTCTTGGACTGGCTGCAGGGTGCTGGGCTAGGTGACATTGCCACTGAGTTCTTCCGGAAACTCTCCATGGCTGTGAACCTGCTTTGTGTGCCCCGTACCTCCCTGCTCAAGGTGACTCCTGAACCCTAACCTCTCACTCCCCAACCCCACTCAGCCATACTCTGTATTCAGCTCATCCTTGGATTCCCCCTTGGACTCCATGTTATCCCCAGTCCCAGCTCAGACACCATGGGTAATGCATTGGCAATTAGAAGGAAGCCAGCCACAATGGTGTCCAAACTTGGCTGCATCTGAATCCCAGTGGGACTAATTAATAATAGTTTCCAGCTCCCCTTTGCTCAGACATGCTGATTCAGGAAGTCTGGTAACAGACCAACAAATGTGATAATTAAAACATTCATTGAACATAAGCTACATGCCAGACACTGTGTAGTACTTCTTGTTGAAAGCTGACTAAGCCCCATGAACAAGGTTATTAGTTGAATTTTTTTTTTCAGATAAGGAAACTGAGAATAAGGTAGGATAGGTCACTTTATTTCTTTAATTTTTATTTATCAAACTTTTACAGAGCATTTAATAAGCACCAGGAATCTTGCCATATTGAATCCTTATAACACCCTATTAGGTAGTTCCTATGCTCTCCTAATTTATAGACGAGGAAACTGAGGCATAGCAACTTGTCAGAAGGTAATGAATGGCCAAGCTGGTAGTTTTGAACGTGGGCAATCTGGGTCCAGAGTCTCTGGCTTCAACCACACTGATAATTCTGATACCATCTAGATTAGGTGTACAAGTTTTCAAACAGATTAAAAAAAAAAAAAAGTAACCACAGCAGAATGATCACAATATAGGAAAATGGACAATTTTGTTTCTTGTTCACCCCACCTACTCCTACACCCTCATTTATTCTGAAGCTTTGTTTTGTTTTGTTTTTGGAAAAGCTAAGAGCATACCCTTTCCCACCATCACTTTGGTGACTAACAGACTTCACAGTGCCCAGAGGATATTGCACGTACAGCACACCACTGTCTACCCACTATATGCACACCCTTTATGTAGGGCCTTCTATTTAGGATTTCTCAGCTGCTCCATAATGACTATGCTCCTCTCACCTCATCTTCCTACCAGGCTTCATGGAGCAGCCTACTAACTGACCACCCCACACTGACCCCTGCTCAGCTCCACCATCTGCTCAGCCACTACCAGCTGGGTCCTGGCCGTGGGCCACCACCTGCCTGGGACCCTCCCACTGCAGAGCGAGATGCTGTGGATACAGGTGAGGAGAAATGGAGACAGAGTCATGCAGGGCTGTCAGCTTTCTTCTGTCCTCAGGACCTAGGAATCCATGGCTTCAGTCCCTCCTTCCTTCTGACCCAGGATTGTGGTACCTTAGCCCTCTCCATCCTCAGGACCTAAGTGATGGACCCCAACCCCCTCTCCACTAGGACACAGGAGTTCAAGTCCCCAGCTGCCTGTTTCTCTCAAGGGTTCGAGGCGCCCAGCCTCTTTTCCCCACAACTTCCTCCTCACCTAGGAGTCTGGGCTCCTGTCCCCTCCACTCTAAGGAATCCGTAAAACTAATTTCCCAGTCAGCCCTTCCTCCCGGACCCAAGAACCCAACTGCCTCGCGGGTTTCCTCAGGCAACGGTGGCCTTTCAGTCTGAACTACAACTCCCATGATGCTCGGGCATTCTAACAGTCGGTTTGAGGGGACCCTACTACAAGATTTGCTGAGGGTTAAAGTTTTTCCTTCCTTAGGGCGGGACGCAGCCTCGGCTCTCCCCGACGCTGCTGCCCCACCCCCATTTTCAGAATTTAACTCCGTCGTCTTCTATCTCACAGGGGACATTTTCGAGAGCTTTTCCTCCCATCCTCCCCTTATCCTGCCCTTGGGCAGCTCGCGCCTGCGCCTCACCGGTCCGGTGACAGACGACTCTCTCCACCGTGAACTGCGCAGGCTTCGCCGCCTCCTCTGGGATCTTGAACAGCAGGAACTTCCGGCCAATCACCGCCACGGGCCTCCCGTGGCCACGCCTCCTTGAAAACTAATGGCAACGGAGTGCGGGAACCTTGAAAATTCATTCGCTTCTACTCACTGGAACTCGCCTGAGCGCAGAGCCTTCTGGGAGTTGTAGTTCTTTCCCCTCGTGGAATGTTGGAAGTTTGGGTTTTCGGGTAGTAGAGGATGGGACGGTGGGAAGATGGGCTTGGGATTTGAGCAATAAAGGTATCTGTGGTATTGGTAACGCCTCACTTGTTAAGACTCTGGAGCGCTAGAGATGATTTTCTGCGGAATATAGTACCAGGGTCCTTGACTAGAGCGTTGGGCTCCTGCCGAGGCCGGGGAGGTATTTATAGCCACGGCCTAAGCTTGCCCTCATGCATGTAATCCAACCCAGGAGCACTGGAGCCTCTCACGCATCTCAGGGCAGCTCTTTATGCTTGGTCTGCCAAGTATCAGGCCGAAGGTCCTGCCAGTGGAACCAGCCATCTCTCCCGTAGACCGCCGAAGTCCACACACCGGTCCCCTGCTCGCTCCCTCCGATGTGGGAGTCTGGGTCGCCAGCCTCCTTCTGGACCTTTCCGCCTGTTGGGCATACTGCCCAATCCAAACACCTTTTGTCCCTCTTCTGTCATCCCTCCTCCCTCACATCCGGAGGTCCGGGGCCCCAGCGCCCTCCCCCCTCAGACGCCAGAGTCCGGGGCTCCAGTTTGAACTTTTCATTCCTCTGAATCCGACTCCTGCTGCTGCGTCAGGGAAAAAGTAAGCGACAGGTGGCACCTGCTTGCAGGGCCGGGACGCGACCACCTGCCCCTGCTGCTCACTCGGCGCCCCTCTCCCATCACCTGTTTCTGTCCGTCCGCCTGCCTCTACCCCCGCCCGATCCTGCAGCTCCAGCCAAAAACTCAAACGCGGAGTTTGAGTGAGCCAGAGAACCCCCACAGCCGCTCGGTTCCCGTCCCTCCCAGCCTGTGCTCCCGCCCCTTCTCAGGGTCCCAGGCGCGGCTCCGGTTTCCCCGCCCCACTCCACGGGCTCTCGGCACGCCCCAGAAAAGGGGGTCCGAGGCGGTCCCAGGCTGGTGGGCGGAGCCTGAGGCCTCCTGCCTAGACCGCGGGACTGTACCGGCTTCGGAGCACTGCTGCGTCAGCCCACCTGGTGAGAAGCCCCTGGGGTAGAGGGGGGAGACTCACCTTAACTTTTCTATCACATCTCTGGTCCTAGTCCCTTGCACACAGGCCGCGATGGCTGACACCCACCCACTCCCTTCTCAGATGCAGGTGGTAGAGACCCTTCCACTTCCCAGGGACCTATTAGGTCCCTTTCCCCTCCTGATCAGCGATGTTGGATTCCAGTCCCCTCACAGTATTGAGGTCCCGCCTTTCACCTCCGTCTCCTTCCTATACTTCTGGACCCAAGGGTCCAAGTCCCCAATACCCTCCTTCTTAGGACCCAGGAGTCCCAGATCCCAGGTCCTCCCTCCCCTAGGCTAGCAGAGTGGGGGCCCTCAGACCCAGCAGTCTGAGTCCCCAGCCCCCTGCTCTCTCCCTCTTTTTTCTTTCAGCCCCCTGCTCTCTTAACACCCAGGATTCTGGGCCCCCAGCCCCCTCCTCCCCAGGATCCAGAAAGGTTGTATTTTAAGTCCCAGTGCAGGCAGAAAGTGTGCAAGTGGGTGGAAGTGGAGGTCTCCTATCCCTAAGTCCTCAGAACCTTTCCCTGGGGCTCTCACATGCAGGGGCTCTTCCTGATCTGCATTCTGACTGTACCTCCTGTGGGGGCCCTGCCCTTCCCCCAGTCCAGGTCCCCACCCCAGCCTTGGCAATGACCCTGGCAGCTTCCTCCCAGCGCTCCCAAATCATTCGCTCCAAGTTCCGATCTGGTGAGAGGCTTCTCTCTGTGCATGTAGGGAAGGGTCTTGGGAATACTTTAACTCTGGGAGTGTGCACAGCACAGTGAGGTGGGAGAGGGGTGGTGGGAACCCATGAGGCATGTGTTTTCTGTGCAAAAGGTTACTTGTGCATAACAGAAACCCAGCAAAGTCTGGAGTTGTGGTGGATCAATGAGTGTGCAAATGGCTTAGGACAATGTTCACGTGAACAATGGGGGGTGGCAGGCTAGGGGTGGGTGTGCAGAGGGTCAGGTACTGCAAAGGGACAGGGGTTTAAAGTGACACATGCGCAGAGCAGAGGAGCGCCCAGCATGGGGATTTAGGAGCGACCAGTGTGCGAGTATAGGTGAGGGGACATTGAGCTATCAAGCCTTGAAAGTGTCAAAAGGTTGTATTTTAGGTCCCAGTGCAGGCAGAAAGTGTGCAAGTGGGTGGAAGTGCAGGTCCACTCCTAAGTAGGCAAAAGGTACTTGAGTGTGCAAATGATTGTGCTTATGTTGTTGGGTGAGTGCAGAGACATCAGTAACCAGAGAGTGAGGCATTTGCAAAAGAGCAGAGGTGTGCAAAGAGAGTTCCTTGCCCCACATCTGGGGCCCAAATCCTGAATGTGTCAGTTAGTGAGTTGATGTGGCTGGGTGGGTGCCAAGACAGATTGAGCCAAGGATGAAGAGTGTTAAAGGGCCCAAGTGCCCGGAAGTGGCATATGTACAAAACTAGAGCCCAGAAAATGCATGTTTAAAGGTGGGTGTGCAAAGGAGGCGCCTGCAGAAAAGTATGCAGAAGGGAAGGGAGCCGGTGTATGCAAAGGGGGGTGTATGGATAAAAGGAGATGGGGTACACATGGGCCAGCCTGCCTACATGGTGATTGCGCTGAGGGTGGGGTGGGCACATGTTCAAAAAGGGGGCAGGTGGAGCTGGGGGCAGGGCTGCCTCCTGGCTGCACACTGGCTGGCTCCTAGTTCCAGAACAGCTCTGGCAGGGAGCGGGGAGCAGGCGAGAGGCCCGGGAAAGGGAGCAGGCTGCCCGCCCACCCGCCTGCATGGGGTGTGTTAGGGGGCTGGGCACGTGTGTCCCGCCAACAACTGCATCGCCCGCCAGGCCAGGCTCCTGGACACTCCCTTCCCGCCTTTCTCCTCCCTTCTCCCTCCTTTCTCCATAGTCCTGCAGCTTCGGATCCACAGACGGTATCAGGACCCAAGTAAGTGTGGGCCCTGAACGGGAGGGATGGTGGCTCCACTCCCCTGGGGAACCCTGGATTAGAACTGCCAGATAACCTGCAGTACCCGGCCTCAGGCCTTCTGCCCCCAGATATGCTGAAAACTCATCCTGTCCTTTCCTGAGGACCCAGGAGTCCAGGTCCTCCTCCACCCCACCCCTAAGAGCTCTGTTTCCTGCTGTTCGGCTTTTTCCACTCTAAGGAAATGCATGAATCCAGATCCTGTTTATAGAAGACAGGCATCCCAGACTCCACTCTCGGCACACATATGAATCTCAGGCTGCGGCTTTCAGCTTCTCTCTCTCCCCAAGAACCAGGAGTGCAAGCTCCACCCCATCCAGCAAAATCCCCCAAATATGTTATCCTCCACCCCTTGGTGACTGAGGACAAAGTACCTGCCTTTCTTGAAAATGTAAAAATCTGGATCCCTAGCATCTTACATCCAGAGGTCTGAGCACGCAGCTCCCCTGCTTGGGATTCCCTCCTGGGCCTGGTCTCCTGCACCCTGGGGAAGGGGGATGGTCTAGGGCCCACAGAGCCTTGTTCTTCCTTGCCTGGCTTACTGTCTACAGGCCTGTCAGGGTCCTTCAGTGCCTCTCCAGCCTCGGATCCAGATCCGTGGATCTCAGCCTCAGGCCCAGCTCTGGGCCCCCGAGCCCAGGCTCCAGCCTTGCCTTCGAGCCCCACCCCTTTCCTCATCAGTCCTGGGGTCTCGCTCCCTGAGCTGGAATACGGCCCTTGGAGATCCCTGAAGGTGAGTCTCCACCAGAGTGCAAGGAAGCTCCCCTGGAGAGTCTAGCCTTGGTCCTCCTTGTGGCTGCCCTTTCTGCTCCTCTCTGGTGGTACCAAGCTGATCCCATGCTTGGCATGAAGCTCCTGGGCAGGAAAGTGGGAATGCAGCTGAATCAGCAATGATATCACACCTGCTTTTTCAGGATTCTCCCAAGATCTCCCAACATTCGAAGGAGCCTAAGCCCAAGGGGAACTTGACATACCACCAGTACATGCCCCCAGAGCCTAGACAAGGGTCCAGGGCAGACCCCCAGGCTGAAGGGTCAGCCCTGGGTCTCCCCGGGCCGTCTCTATGGGAAGGGACACAGCAGCCACCTCATAGGTACGACTCTCATTTTTGTTCTCTGGTAAGTTCGGGCTCCCAGCATCTTCCTCCCTCAAACCCAGAGTCCAGGACTCGGGGAGTCCAACCCCCAGCGTCCTCCTCCCCCAAGACTAAAGAGTCCAGATCCCCAGCCCGTCGTCCTTCGGTTCCCAGGAGTCCTGGCTTCAGACCCAAGAGACGTAGACCCCACTTCCTCGCCGGTGCACAGGAACTAGCCTCCTGTGTTTGCTGCCTTGGAAACCCAGATCCCGCGCCCCTTTCCTGAATGTTCAGGAGCGCCTGTCTTTGAGGATCCCAAAATGCCTTTTCTTTCTCTCTGCCTCTTCTAACATGCTTCCCCCTTTCAACTACCGCCAGGATGAAACCCACACCTCCCGCTCCCTCCCCACTCGGAGTCCCCAGCCCATCGCCCCCTCCACACAAGTTGGAACTTCAGACCCTTAAACTGGAGGAGCTGACGGTGAGTGTGGAGTGAGTAACTTCCCAGGCTGGCTCTCTCCCTCGGTGGGGACCCAGAAGTCTAACCCCGCTGCCTCTGCCCCATCGTTGATCCAGAAGCCCGGGTCCCCAGCCCCTCCTCTCTCCGTTTCCAAATGTCCAGGTCTGGCTCTCGCCTCCTCCCGGGAGCCCGCCCAGCACCGCCTCTCCCCGCCCCTCACCCCCCACCCCAGGTCTCAGAGCTCCGGCAGCAGCTGCGCTTGCGGGGCCTCCCGGTGTCGGGGACCAAGTCGATGCTCCTGGAGCGCATGCGCGGCGGCGCCCCGACCCGCGAGCGGTCGAAACCGCGGCGCGAGGACAGTCCCCCGGACGCTCAGTGGCCGCGCCTCAGGCCCAAGGCTCTGGCAGCCTCCCGGAGGCAGGGCTCGGTGAGGGCGGGGCTACGTGCGTGTGGGCCAATGAGGAGAAGACAAAGCGGGACAGGCGGGAAGTCGAGAAAAGAAGAACCAATGAAGTTTGGGGGCGTGGTTAAGAGCAAAGTGGGAGGATTTTAAGAGAAGAGAAGCCAATGAAAGAACAGGGGGAGAGGTCGGTGAGCGAAGGGCCTGGACACGACCAAGGGGTGGAGCTACGATTTGCGAATGGGTGGGATTGCGCCCAGTGAGCGTGACGTATAGGAACTGCCCCTCTTCGCGGTTCCAGGTCAAGCAGAGGCCGGCATCTCACCCGCCGCCTCCTCCACGCGCCGCGGAAACCCTGGTGACTGCTCCGGCTCCCGCTCCGGCTCGGAGTCCAGCTCCAGCGGGGACCCCTTCCTCAGCACCAGCCGCGGCGGCCCTGACTCTGGAGGAGGAGCTTCAGGAAGCGATCCGCAGAGCACAGGTGAGAGGGGAGTTGGCCGAGGGCAGGTGAGACGGAGCCGGCTGGGGGTTTCCATCAGGATCGAGCCTGAGTCCCAGATTCACGGCGTTTCTGCCCCTCCGCAGTTGCTTCCGAACCGGGGCATCGATGACATCCTGGAGGATCCTGTGGAGCCTGATGGTAGGAGCCGAACTCCTAGATTTGGGGAAAAGTGGGGCAGAGGTTCTGGATTCCAGGATCCACAGGAGGAAGGGGTTTGGGTCTGAACTCCTGGTCTCTAGGGAGGAGTGGGCTGGGGTCCGGATCCCAGCCTTCCTAAGTTCACACTCCATTCCTTCCCCTGCAGACCCTCTGCCCCCCATCCCCTTGGACTTCCCTGGCTCCTTCGACGTGCTGTCCCCCTCCCCGGACTCTGAAGGTCTCTCATCTGTCTTCTCTTCCTCGCTTCCATCCCCAGCGAATTCCCCGTCCCCCTCTCCCAGAGGTCCCACAGATTCCTTGGACTGGCTGGAGGCTCTGAGTGGGGGTCCCCCGCTGGGGTGTGATCCCCCAGCTCCCAGCATCTTCTCTGCTGACCTATCTGATTCCAGTGGCACCCGGCTGTGGGATCTGCTGGAGGATCCATGGTGATGGATTCTGGGGTTTCCAGGGGCTGAGAACTGGTTGGGGTGGGGAGTTCCCAGAGATGGACCCCCTCGGGGAGGGGTTGGACAGCCGGCAGGGCCCAGAATCAAACAACCACTGGACACAGAATCAGAGACAACTCTCATCCCCACCAGGCCCCTGAACTGCTGCTGACGTGCCAAGCGCCTGACTTTTGCCTGCCTGACCTACATATGATCCCCTCCATGGTTGTGAGGTTGGGGTTGGGGTTGGGGAGGTTTCATTTGCTGCTGGCCAGGGCAAACAAGCTTGCTGCTTCCTTCAGAGACCTCATGGGTGTCTTTGGTCCCACCTTCTTCCCCCCATCCCACTGACTAGATGGCTGCCTGTTGCTGGAGGTCTGGAAGGTGTCTTATGCATTTAGGATGCAGGGAAGGAGTGGGAAGGAGTGGGGAGGGAGAATGGGGAGCCAGACCCTTGGCTTCTGGTTGGAGAGGAGAAAATCAAAAGTGTGTGTCTGAGGTCAAATTCTCTTGGAAGCAGAGCCAGAGGCAAGGTTCATGTACCTGTGATCTGTTGAAGAAATGCTCCTGGAGAAGCCAAAAGGGAGTGGATGGAACGAGACAGTGAAGGGGAAAATGACCAGCAAGAGTGGGACTTCAGGTGAAGTCCTGACTGCAGCCTGATCCCACGGGCAGCTCTGGAGGGTGAATTAAGTTGCCGAGGCTTGCTTACCTTGAGGCAAAAAAAAGCCGGCCTTTGAGGCCAAGAGAGATCCCTTTTTGGTTTATTATTGCTGAATAACAAACCACCCCCAAAACTTAGTCTTAAAATAATAAGTATCACACACACAAATAATAACAAGTATGATTGTTCGCAATTCCGTGGGTTGACCGGGCTCAGCGAGGCAGTTCTTGGACACCCTATGATGTGAAGTGGGGCTGCAGTCACCTGGGGGCCTAGGTGGGCTGGACTGTCCAAGGTGGGGCCCTCAGACGTGTCGGGTGCCTTGGCAGGGATCCCAACTGGGCTGTGGGACATCCGGATTTCTTTCCTTCTCTGGTAGCCTCCGTGCTCTCCTTCTCCATGTGGTCTCTCCAGGGGTGGGGGCTGGATCCTTACATGGTAGCTCGGGGCTCCCCAGAGGGAGCATTTCTAGGAGAGGAAGCAGAAGCTGCCAGTCATGCTTGGAAATGGCACCGTGGCTCTTCCACCACGCTGTTGGTTAATGCGGCAGGCTGGGGGAGTTGGGGCGGGGTATGCACACGTGTACGGCCTGAACCAGGGGCATGGTCGTGGGGGTCATATTTGGAGACTTGCCACTGTACCCCTCTAGTCACTCATGGTCACAAGAAGAGGGCCAGACATAAATTCCCAGGCACCTTGAGCTTAAGGGCAGTCTTGAGAAGATCACAAGGTAAGCCATTATCAACCAAGTGTTTAAAAATATTATTCAGGTAGAGTGAGCCAACGGATCAGGAGATGATTGCCATTGGAAAGACAGTTTGTTAGTCTCACAGATTGCAAATAAAGGGGTTGTCCTAAGCCATGCAGGGCCACGTGGGGAAGCACCGGGCCCGGCAGTAGGCAGAGGGGGAGAGGAGAACTGTGGGCAAGAGTCTTCACTGTGTTTTCCTGGGAAGGAACACACCAGGCAGGGTAAGCAGGCTTACGATTGTCTAGCCGGGGTGGACGGGCTGTCCCTGGGTGGCCGGAACTGGGCCCTAGGATAATTAGGCAGAGGAAAAGTGGCCTGGAGTCTAAGAGCTCCGTAAGGGAAGTAGCTGGGTCTGGCTCTGGGTTGGCTGGTTTGTATATGAAAAGCATGCTCCTAGGTGTGTCCTTTATTATCATAAAGGAGTTGGCTAGGTCTGGGAGGGGCTGTCTCTCCAAAGTCAGCAAGGCTTCAGAAGTTTAAGCCCCAGAAATACAAAAAATGCAAAGGCAACAGGGGGCTAGGTGCACAGAATTGGTAAGGGTGAACCGGAGGTGACCTGGGCAGGCCACCAACAGTATCCACTATAGGTAGAAAAGAACAGCAGATCAGTAACATGCAACAGAACCTAGAGCCAGTGACTTCCTCTTGTTTTGCTGTCAGTTTCCTCATCTGTACCTACAGCCCAGTGTGGATGAGCGGGTCCACCGAGACTTTCCATGGACTGGACCTGGCATGTGAGACATACCAATAAATATTAATCGCTATTATTAGCTGCTGATTGTCCATTCTAGTGCCTCCTGTGTACAGTCTGGTGGCCATTAAAGATCCACAATAAAAAAGGCAAGTGAATGAATGCTCCTGACCAAGAAGCCACGGCCACCTTTGGTGTCTTCCAAGCCCATCAGCTAGGATTCGTCATCCTCACTTTCCAGAAGAGGACACAGGAGGTCAGTGAAGGGGAGTGAGCTGCCCAGTGTTGCAGACAGGCGGTGTTGCAGTGGGGCTTTAAGTCAGATTAATGAGCCCACACTCCATGCCTTCAGAGTTGAAAAATCAAAGAACCTTAACCTCTGCTCTGGTGAAGCTCAGCTGTTTGCAAAGAGAGAGTTCCGATGCAGGGTGATAAGTGTTTTCACAGCAGTGGTACAAGGGATTTCAGGTCACGACTCCTAGAAAGTACCAGAAGCCGTGGGGGAAAATACCAGGAGCACATGGACGGGGTGGCCAGAGGAACTACCTGGAAGACAGCCGCCTTGTCAAGGGAGGGCAACATGCAGAAGCCTGAAGGTGTGAAGGGCATGGCCTTGTGAGGTCAGGGTTGCCGGAGCCAAGATGGGTGTGAGGCGACCGCAGGATGCAGCTGGGGAGGTGGTGTCAGCTTGGGGCTTGTAGGCCCCTTCATGTCAAGCTGAGAACTGGTGAGAAAGGGATGCAGTCGGTCCTGGAAAGATCAGGAAGGCGTGTGGTGGGGCTTCCTCTGTCCACTTCCCTTCTGACACTTCTGTGCCTGGATCACTCTCTGTATCAATCTGTCCCCACCTCTGTCTGACTCTGTCCTTGTCACTCTCTGTCCCCATCTCTCCTACGTCCAGAGGGCAGCCTTGGACTGAGAGCCTGCCAGGGCCTATGGGCAACCCCAAAGTCAGTGCTAGGAGCGGCTGAAAAGTTCTCTGGAAGGTAGAGGGTTGAAAGACGGGCACAAGCTTGGGTGGAGGGTGCAGGTTTGAAGCCAGAGCTGCACACCACACCCCCAACCCTTCTCCAGACACTGCAGTCACTTCCTCCTGTCCTTGAGGAGAGGGCTGGGCTTCCCCAAAGGGGCACAGAAAACTGAGGGTGGGTCCAATGGGTGCATCGGAAGGATGGGGTCACATGGGGGCCCCCTGCACCATGCTGCTGCCCCTTGATCTCAATAGAAGCATGAAAAAGACCGAGAATATATTTGACAAATTACCAGTTTACCTTATGGACCTATTCCCCAGAAGGATACCTTCATACTCATTGGGTAGATGGGAGAATGAATTTTGCTCGCTTTTCTTTGTATCCTTCCCTCCCCCTCCTTCTCTTCCTTTCCTATCCCTCCCCCTATTTCTCTCTCTCTCTCCTTTCATTCCCTCCCCCCCCACACCAAGTCTACAGCTTCCTATTGCTGTCTCCAGTCTTCATTTGCCTTCACCTTATTTTTCCTACCTGCTCCCCCACTGGGGACCACCCCCCAGCTCCCGACTCCCCCAAGCACCCCAGGACCACCATCATGACATCATCATAACCGTCATCATTGGGCACAGCCCCAGGCAGGTCAGCAAAAGCATTTCCCTGGGGAGCAGGGGCCACTGTGGGTCAGTCTCATCTCTGGGACCAGAGGACCTGGGGGGCCTTATCTCTCCATCACTATCTGCATGGCCTGGGGCGAAACATTTAATGTATTTGTTCTTCAGTTTCTTCATCTCTGTAATGGGGACCAGAGCAATAGTATTCTCTTCATGGGGCTGGCTGAGGAATAAATGGGTTAGTTACTGTGAAATGCTTAGAACCGTGCCTGGCATGTGGGAAGTGCTCCTAAGGTGTCAGCAGGTGATACGCACCCTCGGGACTGATGTGACCCTGTACCCGCTCCCGCTGAAGGGCTGTGTCCTGCACTGTCAGCACATGAGGGCTCTGCTGCGCCTGGGGTGGTCCAGCGTTCTCGTTTTCAGTCTGTTGGGCTGTTTGCCTCGAGTCTTGTTTGTCCCTCATGGTACATGGTGGGACTTCCAGACCCCAGGGCCAGGCAGGGCGGGGGAAGGTGGCTGAGTTGGGAGGAGAAAAGGGAAATGGGAGTCGTGTGCCTTCACACCCTAAGGGACAGGCCTCTCTCCTCCCATCGGGCCAGAGTAACCATGCCCGGTGCCAAGCCTGCATTCAGACTGTGTGCCCAGCCCTTTCCTAGCTGGGGCCCCCAGACAAGCCCCTTCTCTCTCACCTCATAGAAGAGCTTGCTCCTAAGGAATTTCCCAAGAGAAATGAAAACATATGTCTACATGAAGACGTATGCAAACGCGGATAGCACCATCATTCATTATAGCCCTGAACTAGAAATAACCTACACGTCCATCAAAATGGCAAAACGGATAAATACCGCGGGCATCCACCTGGTGGAATGATTGACACCCAAAAGAACACGGAGGAATCTCAGAATCATGATGCTATGTGAAAGAAACAGAGTGATTCTCCATGCAAAGTTCTAGAAAAGGCAGAACCAGGCGTCAGAAATCAGATCAGTGGTTGCCTGGGCCTGAGAGTTGGGTGGTTAACTGGAATAAAGAAGCTCTTCTATATTTTGAAGGTGACACTGATTACACAACTCTGCAGCTACCAAAATCACTGGGCGCTTGTGGGTGAATCTTTTTTTAACTAACAGCTTTGTTGTGATGTAATTCACATACCATACAGTTCACCCATTTAAACTGCAATTCAGTGCTTCTCTCATATTCACAGTTGTACATCGCAATCACTGGTAGAAGATTTTCATCGCCACCGGAAGAAACCCCACACCCATTAGTACCTGCTGCTCATTTTCCCCTAAACCTCTCTTCCTTCCCGTAGGCAACCACTAATCTACTTTCCGTCTCTATGGATTTGCCTATTCTGAACATTTCATATTAGCAGAGTCATATGTGGTCCATTGTGTGTGGCTTCTTTCAGTCAACGTAACATTCTCAAAGTTTACCCACGTGGTAATGTGTATTGGTACTTCACTCCTTTTTACGGCTGAATCCTGTGCCACTGTATGGACATACTACCCTTCGTTTATTCCTTCATCAGTTGATGGACATTTGGGTTGTCGCTATTATGAATAATATTGCTGGTGAATATTATAGTACATAAATTGAATTTCAATAAACTGGGATACAAAAGACCAGGTGAGCTAAACTATTTTGTATAGAGACCCACCCAGAGACAGTGAAAGAATAAAGAAGGTAGGAATATGCCAACCTAGGTAAGTCAACGTGAACGGTAGTGGAGAGAGAGAGGCTTTCTGGGTGTTTCTGGATCCTTTTGAATCCAGTCAAAGCTTAACAGTCATGGAGTGATCAAGCCCTGCATATTCCAAAGGACTGGCCCTTGGCTGGCTTCCGGACATAACTTCTAAGTCCTTGGAACGGCCTGCCTGATAAGAGCATCTTTGCTGATTGGGGCCTGGGGGCCACACTGGATAGTCTGTGCTACAAAGTGATGGCCCTGTGGTGTCAGCTTGACCTCTGGAGGGGCTGCAGGCTGAGTAGCTCAGGTCAGTCACCCATTCCTCAGAGACGGAGGCTCGTGTGGGTTTCTCCGGGTGGCGACAGTTCGCATGCGTTGTCACACATCATTGCAGGGAGAACTTGGTGCTGTGCATATGATTCCACAGGGGGAGGACAACTGGAAGTTTCCACCCGGTCATTCCTGGACTCTACCCTGTGCAGCTTTTACCTTTGTCGACTTTAACCTGTGTCTTTTCACTGTAATAAGCCACAACCATGAGCATCATGGCTGGGCTGAGTTCTGTGAGTTCTTCCAGTGAATCACTGAACCTGAGAGTGGTCCCCTGACACACCAGGTTTTAACCTGGATGGCGGATTATTCCCCACTATTCTTTAAGCTGTATGCATTTTATGAACGCTTCACACGTATGATGTTAGACTTCAAAAAATCATAATCCAAACTTCGTAACTAACAGAAGGTGGCACATAAAAGGGAACTATTTAAAATAAGCTTCTGGGTCTAGTTGACCTAACAGACTTGGTGTGGCTGATGAGGAAACATGCAAAAGAGAAACAGCTTCCGGGGCATAAAGGGAGGAAGTACTGAAAGCATTTGACCTGTTGAGTTTGGGAACTGGAGGGCAGCCTCACACTTAGTAGAGTGACTGCAGAGGTCAGGAAAAGTGATACAAAACCTAAAAGAGATCTCACTCAAAGAGAAAGACATGCAGTCGAAACAAGATGCTGTTTTTCTCCTAAGAAGTTGGAGAAAATTCTAAAGGGTGCTAATTCCCAGCTTTGGCGAGGCTGTGGGAGAAAGGGCATTTATACAGGGCTGGAAAGAATATACATTTTTCTACAGAATATACATTTTTCTACAAGTCATTGAGCAGTGTTGATTTTAATGCATACTGCATGAACCAGCAATTTCACTTGTAAGAATATATCCCAAAAATGAAATGTTAGTATGCATGCATGAAGATTTCCCACGCTGTAGCCAATAGTGGCAAATGAACAGGACATTCCCCTCAACATGATTTGCAGTGGTAAAAAACAGCAAACAAACCAAAAACCCTTCTGTTGAGTATGGATGTTGGTAGTTGATCACTAAATGGAATCTTTTGCAAGTTCCAAAGAGATTGGGAAGATGTCGACTACATAGCAGGCTAAAAAAGAAAAGCAGTTTGCCAAACTTTGTATGATTTCGTATTTGCAAAAAAGAAACCCCAAAACCCAAAAAGTCACCTTCTCACATTGGTTAATTTTCAAGTTTTTACGGTTTAAATTTATTTTATTTTTGTTTTTAAGAGCACTCAGTTTTTTTCTAGGTGGCTCAGCATTGTTGGTTTAGAATGCATCTCTTCATCATTAATTTGTAACGCCACCCAACAAACATTAAATTCCCAAATGGCTTGCTGTACATTTCTGACCTTTCTGGGCTGTTTCAATCTGTTTTCCCTGAGCTGTGATCACACTATTTTGTTTATTGAGGGTTAACATTCTTTTTAACATCTGGTGGAGCTTGCCTCGCTCAGCACTATATGTTTGGAATTTTTATAGTTATTTTATTGTTTGACTTCTTTTTTTTTTTTGGTCTGAAAAGAAGTCTCTGGCCCCACAATAAAAATGTGAGGGTCATCTATAGACAGTGTATGAAACCATGAAATCATCCATGGAGAGCAACGGGCCATGAGAGAACCCGACCGAGCATCAATAATTGGATGAACAGCCCTCGACCATGGACATAATTTAATTAAATGATAGTGAATACACAGGGCAACAGCCAGTGTTCGACGCAAGTTTGGTTAACTGGAGAAACTCCACAAAGTCACCAGAAACAACCTTCCACCCTCTCCACTTTTCTCAGGCACTGTATGAGTTTCCTAGGGCAGCTGTAGCAAAGTTCCCCCAGACGGAGTGGCTTAACCTCCAGAAATTGGTTGTCTCAAAGTTCTGGAAAGTGGAGTCTGGGATCAAGGTGTTGGCAGAGTTGGTGCCTTCTGCGCCTGTGGGTGAGAATCTGCTCCCTGCCTCTCTGCCAGCTTCTGCTGGTTTGCTGGCAGTCGTTGGCATTCCTTGGCTCATAGATGTAATACCTCCATCTCTCCCTTCATTGTCACACGGCATTCTCTTGTGTGTCTGTCACTATGCTCAAATTTCCCCTTTCCATACTGGATTAGGACTCGCCCTGCTGACCTCACCTGACTTTGACTACATCTTCAAAGACCCTATTTGCAGATAGGTCACAGGCATGGATACTGGGGGTTAGGACTTCCACATGTCTCTTTTGAGGGTCACAATTCACTCTAAGCAGATGAGCCAGGCTTATATTCTATACGGAATATCACTGCCCTCTCCCAGCTCAAGCCCCTGCTGGCTTATCGAATGTAACAATGTATATTTAAGATCATAAACATCTGGAGCACGTGGACCAGATTGGTTTTATTTACTTTGTCTGCAATTGATTAGAAAAAGATCTAATGGGAAATGGGGCTAGTCCCATGTCCTAATGGGTGCAAGATTTGGAATAGAAGGCAGTGAGACTGTGTTTGCTGGACCCCAAATAAAAAGCTCTGCTTGATTATCCATCAGCTGTCTTGTGAGGTTGCAGAAAAGAGCCAGGAATGAGTGTGGGTTCACGAGGAGAATGGGACCAATCAGCCTCATTCTCCTGAGGTCAAATGATATAAAAGAGCAAACCTGGGGGCGGAGCCAGGATGGCGGCGTGAGTAGAGCAGTGGAAATCTCCTCCCAAAAACACATAGAGCTATGAAAATATAACAAAGAAAAATCTTCCTAAAATAGAGACCACAGGACACA